CTCTAATACTTTCTTTCTCTCTCCAAAAAAAAAAAAAAAAAATTCTTCCCCTTTCTCTGTTCAACGGCCGAGTTTTCTTGAATTCTAGGGTTTCGAATGATCGAAAGGTGACTCGATTCTGGCCGTCAACTAACGGCCCAAGGTAACTCGATTCCTCGATCTCAGCTCTCGAGTTTGCACCGACAGTGACGGATGTTTTTTTTGTTTTTTTTTATTTCGATCTAGAACTCTAGATATTGAGATTGAAGTTAGGGTTTTGGGGGAGTTCGAGCTTAAAGTTGGGATTTTTATGATGTTTTGTGGGGTTATCGATGAGTTCTTGATTGCGAAAATTTTGGGGGTTTTGTAGGACTAGGGGGAAAAAACAATGATATGTTTTATTGAAGTTACTAATATTTGATTTATTGACTAATCTATTGACTAATCCGAATTTATGATATTTGAGATGGTGGAAGTGATGGCGGCGGTGAAGATGGAGGAGAGGTGCTGCGTGGAGAACAAGCAGTCGGCCGCTGAATCGACGAGCTCTTCAGTGTCAGAGGGGAGTTACGGGTTTGCGAGCCCATCGCCTGCGGCTTCGAGCCCTGTGGTGTCGTCGTTGCCAGCTCATAGGTAATAGCTGACCTAATTGAACTTGAATTTGATTGAATGTTGTTGATTCTGTGGTGTTAATGTTTAGTTTTGTATGGTTTTGTAACTGAGAATTAGGATTGTTTGTGAATTTTTTGGACTGTGAAGATTTCCAGTTTAGTGCGTTTTTGCTAAAATGGTCTGGATAATGCGGTATGATACTGAATAGTACTATAATTCTAGGGTTTAGTATGGAGAAAATTGACCATTTCGCCTGCTGACTTTATGGCTGAATTGTGGTTTAAAAGGTTAAATTGAATGCTTTTTTTTTGGTTTATTGCCTTGATGAGAAATTCTTTATTAGCTCGAAGATTAGAGATGGTTAGACATCCTAATACCTGTTTATAAGAGATTACTTAATACTTCAATCCCATTAAATTATGAATCTCACTCGTAGTTGAGTTTTTATAATTCATTCTTTATGTCATCCTGTGAAAATTAACCCATTTAACCTGCATGATCCCATAGTCAAGTGTCAGTGATTGATATTGTGGGAGATTTTGATATAGCTCCGTATGGAATTATCTCTGAGACATCCTTTAAACTATTGATAGTACAGGCAAAAGCAGTATTTTTATTCTTTAACTTTTGTTTTCTGCAAGATATTTCTAGAAGCAAATTTGTTATTAGGGTTAAAACACTCTCTTGTTAGTTGGGGGACCAGTTTTAGGTTATAATATAACATGTTACTCCCAATAAGGAATATAATGGGAGGAATTTCAAATTGTTCTTGACTTTATGGTAAAATTTTGCTAGTTGAAGTATGATAGCTGTTATTGTCTGTTCACTTGATGGTGATGATTTAATAAAATAATGCAAGAAGAGAAATTCTACATTTTCTTTTTATTATTAGTTTCCAAGTTAACTCCTGCTAATGCAACAGTTAAATATGGTTAAATATTTTTGCTGAATAGTCATTTAGTTTATTATCTTTCTAATCATGCTTGATCCAATCTTAGGAGAACAAGTGGCCCTATAAGGCGAGCAAAGGGTGGTTGGACACCTCAAGAGGTTAGCACTTTAATCCTCAATGTGTATACTTTGCTTGCAATTATCTTATATAACTAAATATATACTCTTTTCAATATATTATTGAGAATAGCTTTAGGGGAGAACTGTCATTAGAAGAAATCCAGTATACTATTCATAAATTTTTTATATTGTTTGCACATATATCTCTGCTCTGCTTCCATTATCTTTGTGGCTAATCATTTTATATGATATTCCATAAAGAATAATAAATTCATTCAAATAGATTTTTTTTTTTTATCTAGTAGTAATTTTGCTGATTGTTGCCCAGGATGAGACATTAAGGCATGCTGTAGAAGCTTACAGGGGAAGATGTTGGAAGAAAATAGGTTCTTATCTTATCTATCTTCGCTCCTCTCTACTGATTGTTTGTTTTAGTGGGAAGTACTTTATTGTGTAATGCTTCTTCTTCTTCTTCTTCTTCTTCATTTCTGGAATGTTCATGATCCAAAAACCACCCTTTTACCACAGAGCCTGGCCATAGTGGCATGTAATGCTTAGTTTAGAATAACATCTATATTTTTGTTTCTAATGTTTGTTTCTATATCTTGCAGCTGAATTTTTCCCAGATAGGTCTGAAGTGCAATGTCTACATCGTTGGCAGAAGGTTCTCAATCCAGACCTTATCAAAGGTCCATGGACTCAAGAGGTTTTATTCTCATCTTTAATGTGATGCTCCTCTGCTTTCTTAAATTTTCTATCTTGATTATTTGTTGATTTGCAGGAAGATGAAAAGATCGTTGCACTTGTGGCGAAGTATGGACCGACAAAATGGTCTGTTATAGCAAAATCACTACCGGGCCGCATTGGAAAACAATGTCGGGAGAGGTAGCTTCCGAGTTCTAATATTATACTTGTTACTAAATGCCTTCGTGATTGTTGATTTTTAAAAACATTAATTAAAATTTTTATTTTTTCCTTGCCTTTCTTGTCTCCCACACTATGGTTTAGAGGTCTGTTATCAGGGGATAAATCACTCTTATGATATATGCATTGTGCCTACACATTGTTTTATGCACGCATAAGTGTGCCATATGCAAAATCCTTCCATTATAGGCTAATAATTGAAAGATTGTCTTGGGATCATACTGGCAAAAGACATTATCAACTGATGTTGGACCTAATGGTGATTCTGAACTGTTACGCTATCAAATTGTTTAAGTTTCAAGTACAGCGACATATTATTCCAGTCTTTCCAGCCAGCACCTTGTCAAATGCGAGCCCTAAGAATCATGATCAGTCAAATAATTGAAAACATTTTCCATTCAGCTCTTTTGCATCTTAACACAGAACTTAAAATAATCGCTTATCTTGGTTATACGTGTGTCAATATTAATGGTATATGATTCCCACCAAACTGACCAGCACCTTGTCAATCAGCAAGCTGTAAGAATCATGATCCATAAAGTAATTGGAAACCTTTTCCATTCAGCTCTTCTCTCCTCAACACCGTACTTGAAATAATTTCTTATTTTTGTTATATGTGTGTCAGTATTAGTGGTATAAGATGCCCACTAACTGGAGGTCCTTAATTGTACAAGTTCTTCATTGCCTTATCCATTTGCTTTTTTTTACCTCACTTTTTTTAGTATTAGCATGCTGAATATAATGCGGTTATTTTTATTTTCCTCAGGTGGCACAATCATTTGAATCCAATGATAAAAAGAGATGCTTGGTCAGTAGAAGAGGAACTTGCTCTTATGAATGCACACCGTGTGTATGGGAATAGATGGGCAGAAATTGCAAAGGTCTTACCTGGAAGGTATTGAAATGTGTTAGGATTGGTACTTATCTTCTCGGTATTGAAATTTTCTGGGATTGGTACTTCTCAGAATATTTTTTTGAGTTTTATGCTCTCCTACAATCAAAAGACGTGTTACATTTAGCCTTCAAAATGTATGGTTCTCTCATAAGAATTCTTTTGCTTAAATTCATTTCATCTGAAGATTAGAGATATATCTGCAACATAAGATTCTCAATCAACTTTCATACTATACAAACCCCATCCCAGACCACCTGTCTTGTCTTTTTCCAGATGAGATCTAGATAGAATCTCCAGCATCAAATTTGTTCCCATTTTGGCAGCTACTGATTAAGAAAGCGAGGCTTCTAATATTTTCTCATATGCAAAACTCCTAAATGTAGGAAATTTCTGGTATGGCTTGCCTTCTGTTCTACAAGTATCTGAAAGAGTTTCAGATTTTTGGTGAGTTTTTTTAATCATTATGTAAAACTCTTCTACTGGGGAAAGCCATGATGTTTTCGGCTTTGCTGCATATGTGGGGTGTC